AATTAAAGATGGAAGGCGACAGAGTGGAATGTGAGTTAAATTCAAGTTTTAAAGCTTGCATATGGCTAAGGATTATGGTTCCAAGATTTCAGCTTTTAAGCTTTCGTAGTTCTGAAGTTACGTTTTCGAATAACCACACAGCCAGAAGCGCAGTCTGGCAATATTGTGTTTTCATCTGGATGATCCAATAGCATAAAAACACTAGGCAGGCTCGTGCGATCATGCTTTCTTGCAGTATTTTGTGCTGTACTAAGATCTTTCAGAAATTTGGTAGTTAGAATTTGTGACATGGTGGTTCTCGAAACTCGGGAAGTTAATTGTGCAACAACGTGGTACTTGGCCAGGGAACATTATTTCCGAGTTAACAATTTTCTCGCCAGAAACTTTGACCACGCATAAAGGAAGGGGCCTGAATTTGAAGCCTTTAAATTGTTTGGGAGCTAGGAGCATCCTGCTTAAGATTTCAGCCCTCCAGTTTTTCTGATCTTCGAGTTAACGATTTTTCCCGTCAAAAATTTTCACAGGATAGTGCGTAAGAATCACGAATCCTAGGGCTGAATTTAATATCTTTAAGTTATGCAGGGGCTAGGAACATCCCCGTAAATTTCAACGTCCCAGCCTCCCTGGTTTCCGAATTAGCGATTTTCCCGGCAAAATTTTTACGTTCTCGTGTATGGGCCAGACGTTTGTGATGGCTGATACCGCAGTCCTGGGGTGGCGCTTTGCCGGGGAGACCTATTTGCAAAATTTTAGCGGCGGAGCTTGCTTGATTGCCGCGTTGAAATAGCCGGGCACACACACACACACACACGCACACACATACACATACATACACACGCACACATACACACATACACACGCACACATACACACACACACGCATAAACATGCACAAACGCACACCGGGGTCGTCGCAATACGCATTTTTGCATTTGCATATATGCAAAAACGCATAACCGGACTTTTTTCGTTCTGCAGATTTTGTGTTTGGGCCGATGCACTTTACCCGTTTGGACGTTGTCTCAAGCTCGATAATGCGCGGTCGTGATAATGGCTTACCACCGTACAACGAATTGCGCCAAAGTTACAATCTTCCAACCAAAAATTGGTCAACAATCAATCCTGAGCTTTATAAGAAAGAACCACAGGTATATTAACAGTACTGAGTGCAAGTTTCTCCTTCCTCCTTCCCTCCCCTCTTCCTACCTTCTGCCAAATGTGCGTTCTAACACGGCCTCCTCATCCTGAAAATCTTGATTTACTAATCTCTAAATGACAAAGCAGTATTTTACGTAGATTTGTTGTAGCTTCTTTGTTGCAAAACGGCAAGTGCAAGAACTTCTGGTTAGCCACATCCTCTTCCGTCAGATTGCCTTGTTTTTAGATGTTCCGCGAACTGGAAAAATTGTACAACGGTGACATCTCGCAGCTAGATGCCTACGTGGGTGGAATGCTCGAAACGAATGGTGAAGGTCCTGGCGAGCTCTTTGGCGCCATCATTCTCGATCAGTTTCTGAGACTTCGGGATGGTGATCGCTTTTGGTTTGAAAACACCTTGAATGGGTTCGTTGCACTCGTTACACTTAAATTATTCGTGCTGACGGGCATAACTTGGCAACAATTTCGCTGCTTTCGTGTTAAGGGCCAAATTCATCATTAAGCTTCCTGGCTGGCCTCGGGGTCGATGCAGATGTGCAAAGCTGGTGTATTAGAAAAATTGCTTGCCTCAGGCTAAATGCCTAGAAGAGGCAAGCATTTTTCAAAAAAAAGTGAATAGCGGGCACCAGGGTAGCCGATACGATCATGCGTTTCGCGCAGTTCCTTCCAGCAAATGTTTACTTGCTAAGGATTTTCGCTGCTTCACACTGTGGTCTGTGCAAAAATAATTGAAATGCTATATGGCTCCTAAGTCACGAAATTTCCCTTTTAAAGTTTCACGTATCGGCACGTGAAAACTGGATTTGAAACCTTGAGCGGCGAACATCCTTCCCAAACTTCAACCTCGTAATTTTTTGGTTTAGAATGATTTTCGCACCAAAACTTTATGTGATCGTACGTGAAACCTCAGCATACTCGGGGATTAAATTTGAGTTTGTGAGGTCCTGCATAAGTACAAAACATACTCTCGAAAAAATAGGAAATAGTTCTCCCCACCAAAACGATCACAAAGTCGAACGTGGCACTCAGGCTCAGGGAGAAGCTAAAATTAAATTGATGGGATCACACGTGGGCAGGGACGTTACCCTAAAAGCTTGGCTTCCTACCTTTCGCAGCTCCCGAGATAATAGTTTTTCTCACCAAAACTTTCATGGGGCGTTGCGTGGTACTCACGGACAGCGAAAGGCTGAAATTAAAATTGCTGGATCACACGTGGGCAGGGAACATCCCTCCAGATTTTCAACTCCTAGCTTTCGGACAAGATGCATTGGACACGCATCCACACGCTCACAAGCACACAAAGCACACACAGATGCCCTCGTGACAATATGCATTTTGTGCAGCGGTTGCACAGCATAAAATGCATAAAAATTATTTGTTTTTAGTTTTTTTTTTGATAAATGCTGTTGTTTTTGCCTGCTTCAATTCACCTGATGAAAAAATCCTGTTCTGTGAGAAAATTCTGCACTTGTCAGCAAATGACTTGTTCTTTTTGGAATGTCGGAATTACAAACATTCCAAACTGAGTTAATTGATTACACAATTTTAGGATGTTTACAGAAGAAGAAATTGCTGAGATACATTCAACAACTCTGCGTGATA